CCTTAAGATATCACATCTCTTCTATCAATAAAATTTAAATATAAAAATTAATTTAAAAATAAAGTTATCATAAGTTAGAAATATATATTATAAATATGGATCAAAATAAATAAGAAATTTTAAAAAATTCATATACTCTAATTAAAAAACTGACTAAAAATCCAACAGTAAAAAAAATATCTAAATATTTTTTCACATAAATAACTATTGGTATTAATTATGTAGGAGTGCATATAAATATTTTTTATTATAAATTAATGTCCTGGTCTTACAAAAAAAGAAAATGAGATTGATACTCAACAACAATATTATCATCACTTTTAAGAAATTTATAAACTTTTTTAAGTTTTATTTAGTGACGAATAGAATTTCGTCGCTAATTTTAACTAATATTTAGCGACCGAATAGAATTCCGTTGCTAGTTTTAATTAATATTTAGCGATCGAATAGAATTACATCGCTAATTGTAAGTAATATTTAGCGATTGAAATTAATTTCGTCGCTAAAAAAATCAAAATTTCTGATTTAGCGACCGAATTCAATTTTGTCGCTAATTTTAACTAATATTTAATGACAAAATTCAATTTCATCGCTAAATTTAACTAATATTCAGCTACCAAGTTCAATTCTGTCGCTAAATTTAACTACTATTTAGCGACTGAATTCAATTCCGTCACTAATTTTAACTAATATTTAGCGACCGAATTCAATTCCGTCACTAAAAAATCAAAATTTCTAATTTAGCGACCGAATTCAATTTCGTTGCTAATTTTAACTAATATTTAGCGACTGAATTCAATTCCGTCGCAAAAAAATAAAATTTCTGATTTAGCGACGGAATTGAATTTGGTCGCTAAATTTAACTAATATTTAGCGATCGAATTCAATTCCGTCGCTAAATTTAACTATTATTTAGTAACCGAATTCAATTTCGTCGCTAATTTTAACTAATAGTTAGCGACTGAATTATCACTTTGGTCAAAAAGCCCTCATGTGTGTGTCCTTATATGAATAGTTTACTTACCCAATTAAATAGTGAATGTATTTAATATTATAAATATAGCAAATCTGTGGGTATTTATTTTTTTATTAATAATTTATGTTAAAAATAATAAAATTAATTTATAAGTAATAATAATAAATAAAAACTAAATTAGATAAAAATAAATTTAAAAATATATAAAATTCTTCTAGTTAAAGAAAAGTCTCTAAAAATGATATGACACTAGAAAAACATTTGTGCTTTATATATAGAAGTTAATTATTCTTTGATTAGTTACTAATTTTAATTTAATATATGTTTATACAAATTTTAAATATGATTTATTGATTTAACTATAATATTTATTTTTATATATAATTTGTTCTAAATTTTAATTATGTAATAAAAATGTAACTTGTGAAATACACAGACTAAAATATTAGTATTTTTTAATTTACATAAAAAAATTATAGTATTATATTATATTGTAATTTGTTAAGTATACTAGAATGAGAGGGATCGAAAGATTCTATAAGTATGAGATTATATAGTTGATGATGACTTAAAGGAATTAATTTGTACTATATATACTAATGAGATGCATCTACTCTTTCGTAGCTTATTCCTTAAGAATTTCATAGTTAAACGTGCTTGACATGGAGTAATTTAGGGATGAGTGACCTACATTGAAAAGTTTTGTGTTGATTTGTGGGGTTTATGGTCAATCTTTGATCCTAAAAGTAGAAGAATATTTCAAAAAGGGTTACCCATGGAGGATTCTGATCAGTGAAGGGTTCTGACCAACGAGGAGTTGCGTGAAGTATCCTTGAATAGAGCTACTGGAAGGTCATATATGAGGAATGTTGCACTAAATAAGGGTGTTTAATATAATTTCTAAATGATTTTTTAAAAATATTATCAACAATACTCATGGATTTTATCCGTGGGTAATTAATTAGGGATGGGTGACTTTCTGGAAAGTTTTCTAGAAAAATGTGTGAGTGATGATAAGGTACGTTGAAAAGTCTTGTGTTTATTTGTAGGATTTTTGGGGTCAATCTTTGATCCTAAAAGCAAATGAATATATAAAAAATGGTTACCCATGAAGGGTTCTGATCGGTGAAGGGTTCTGACCAACGAAGAGTTGCGTGAAGTGTCGTGGAGTGGAGCTATTGAAAGGTCATATATGAGGGATGTTGCACTAAATAAGAGTGTTATTGAATATAATTTCAAAATAATTTTTTAAAAATATTATCAATAATACCCACAGATTTTATCCGTGGG